AACATGCCCAGTTCCCTCAGCCTCTCCTCATAGGACTTGTTCTCCAGACCCCTCACCAGCTTGGTGGCTCTCCTCTGGACATGCTCCGGCAGCTCACGTGTGCCACATGGCAAGCGAGGACCAGGAACTGGTTATTTTAGCTCACGTGTGCCACGTGGCAAGCGAGGACCAGGAACTGGTTATTTTTAGGAAGGGTGGCTCAGCAAGGAGGGAAAGGGAGCAGAGAGAGGGTCTGTCTAGAGAGCAGCTCAGAGGTTTCTGGAAGCAATAGAAATGGCAGTGTCCAAGTAACCCTGGCTGCTCAGCACTGTCAACACCACCCATTTCCCCAGGGTCACCTGATGATAATGAAGCAGAGGCTTCCACCCCATTCCCCACAGGGGTGAGGCTGAGGTTCTCCTGGTGCCACCTGGCCCTTCCAAGGATGTCTCACACCAGCTCTGGCTCCTGATCCTTAACCACAAATTCATGGGAAATGCTGAAATTCCAGCACCCTCCTGTGCCACGAGAGCCCCTGCTCTTTGGGAAGTTTTGGGGTACAAATTGCTGGTCTGAAACAGCACACAAGGTCTCTCTTGCACTGCCATCTCAAACCCTCTGGAAATAAGCAGGTTTGTTTCTTCCACAAGATCAACGTAAAAAAATAATTTCAGGTTGATCAAAGCATTTTGACTGAATCAAACTATTTTTTTTTTTTCCCCACACCTACGCAGAGGGATTTGCTGCTTTAAAAAGGTTTTTGTAGGGGTTTGGGTTTGTTTTTTTTTTAAAAAACCTCAAATCCATGGGAATCTGTAGCCGAGTGCCTCTAGGAAAAACAGACATGCTGATGCTGGGCTGTAAGGTTGACCACACAGCACGTGTGGACACACATATTTTTCTTTTTCCCACACCTACACAGAGGGATTTGCTGCTTTAAAAAGGTTTTTGTTAGGGGTTTGGGTTTGTTTTTTTTTTTTTAAACCTCAAATCCATGGGAATCTGTAGCCGAGTGCCTCTAGGAAAAACAGACATGCTGATGCTGGGCTGTAAGGTTGACCACACAGCACGTGTGGACACACATCACGTCCTCACACTACCTGCCTTCCAACACAGTCCCCTTCTTCTAGGGCCACATCCTGGATCAACCCTTCCCATTCTGGTCCTGCATGCTGTGGTAGTCAACAGGAACCTGTCAAGCCCATGGGCAGCTCAGGCCACCAACCGCCACGTCCCTGCCCTCAGAAACATGCCAGAGCAGAGCCTCCTGCTTAACCAGACACACAGGTACTTTGAGAAGACCACTCCCTTCCTCCGACAGCTCTTTTGACTTGGGGCATCAGCCCATGAGGATCCATCTAGGGATCAGCAGGAGTAGGGAAGTTATCGTGCCTCTGTACTTCTAGGGATCAGCAGGAGTAGGGAAGTCATCGTGCCTCTGTACTTGGCACTGGTGAGGCCTCACCTCGAGTACTGTGTTCAGTTTTGGGCCCCTCACTACAGGAAAGACATTGAAGTGCTGGAGCGTGTCCAGAGGAGAGCCACCAAGCTGGGGAGGGGTCTGGAGAACAAGTCCTATGAGGAGAGGCTGAGGGAACTGGGCATGTTGAGTTTGGAGAAGAGGAGGCTGAGGGGAGACCTCATTGCCCTCTACAACTCCCTGAAAGGAGGGGGTAGAGAGGCAGGGGTTGGCCTCTTCTCCCAAAGGACGAACGACAAGACCAGAGGAAATGGTCTGAAGTTGCAGCACGGGAGATTTAGATTAGATATTAGAAAGAATTACTTTACTGAGAGAGTGGGCAGGCACTGGAACAGCCTGCCCAGGGAGGCGGTGGAGTCACCATCCCTGGAGGGATTTAAGAAACGTAT